TGCGCCACCACCGCCCAGCTGGACGTGATTTAAATATCCATTTTAAGGAGATGAATTAGAGAAGTTCAAGTATATTTAGTGGAATACGATATTTAAAAAACTAGAGTAACCTCTAAGACATAAGTTACATTGCAGACATGCAGATACATGCTTGGCAGCCTTGTTTCATGTTTGACTTTGGAGAGGTCTCCAGTTTCATGTTTAACTTTAGAGAGGTCTCCAGTTTCATGTTTGTCTTTAGAGACGTCTCCCTAAACTGCCTTTGCTTCCTCCGCATCTCAGACCTGATTCTGGAGTCTCCCAGCAGCTCCTGCTCAGGTGCTTACACTGTACCTGTCTCGTGTTCTTTTAGAAACACACCTACACACATTCACACAGGTAGTGGGCATGTCTATGGATATAAACAAGACACATCAACATTTGGGAAACTGGCCCCAAAACCTCTGGAAGATGGAATGATACCACTGCTTCCTTATGGGAGACAGATCTGGGAGGAGGAACTCTCACCTTTTCAAGTTTTAACTCAAGTGAATTTAAAAATTATTTTAAAAGGAAAAATGTACAAATGGAAATACAGTCTGCCAAATGATAATAAGCAGTGAAGCCTGGGCCAGCCTCTGATTTCAGAGTCTCAAACGTTCTCTCTCTCTCTCTCTCTGTCTCTCTGTCTCTCTCTCTCTCTCTCTCTCTCTCTCTCTCTCTCTCTCTCTTGCCTCTCACAGTTGGACATGTGATTTCAAAAGATTTTAGCACAAGGATCACGGGTTCATATACAGTATATGAACTAAGAAATGATTTTTTACTTTAAAAATATGAGAAAACAATACAGTATTTTGTAATGTGAAAATGAGGCTAAACTCACATTTTAGTGTTCACAAATCAAGTTTTGTTGAAGCACAACTGCCCCACACACACACACACACACATACTGCTTTCAGCTGCTTCTGCATGGTAACAGCAGAGTTAAGTTCTGTGAAAGAAAATGTGGCCACAAATTCTCAGATAGTCATGCTCTTGTGCTGAAGAACACAACAAAACAGAAACTGAAAGCCTTATTTTAGATTGTAGCTCCTTCAGTTCCTGCCAGAGTCTCTGTGCTTGTCTTTAATGGAGTAACAGCCCATTGTAAACTGTTTAGAGTGAGTCTTCCACATAAATGATGTAAGTTTACCTTGGATGCTAACTGCTACCATCTGATGCTGGAGTTGATTTCTCTAGACTTCCCTCAATCACCTTCCATAAGCACAGGCGCCCCTTCAAGATGTCTTGTATATGCTGGGAAGAAGTGACAGCCAGTCAGGAAAGTCAAGTGGCCCCTGCCCCTGCCTGCCGTACCTCAAAATGCCTACCCCCACTGAAGCTTGGTCAGAAGAGCTATCTAATAGAAAACTTCCTTGGCTGATGCATACAAGGCTAAATATAGACCTGCCTATGAGAGCATCATTAAACATCTTAGGCTCAGGAGGTCTGACTCTAGCTTGATCTGCCTGTGTGAGCCTCATTAAATACCTTTAGGCTTAGCTCATTGCTCATAAGAAGTGGGTATGACATTTCACTAATCACAGCTCAAATCTACAACTTTACCAATGTCTGATGCTGGCGAGTGGCAGCTTTCTAATTAGCCCATAAACTCTAAAGGTAAGTTAGAAGGGTCTTATTCAAAATGTACTTCTAATTCAAGTTTGAGAAGTAAATAAAATTAATCATTCAAAGTTTGTGTTTAACGTTTACTGAGATTAAAAAATGCTGGATACAACATAGATTTATGCAATCGCTGAATTCATATAATTATATTTTGTAATTGCTTTTGAAAAGATTTATGTTGCCCTGGGAATGTAGCCAACTAGTAGAGTGCTTGCCTAGCAAAGCAAGCAAAGATTGATTACCAGCATCAGCAAATTAATTAATTAACTAATACATAAAATTTTTGTTGAATAAATATGTCCTAAAATCACTCTCTTTTGATGTCCAGGATTATCTTATTATTAAAGCCATATTTGAAAAATCATCCTATATATCTGTCTTAGTCAATTTTGTGTTGCTATAATCAAATATATGAGGCTGGATAATTTGTAAAGCAAAAAAGTTTACTTAGCTCTGGAAATTCAAGAGCTTGGACATCAGTATCTGCCTGGCTGGGAAAAGGCCTCATGGCAGATGGCACCACAGGATATGATTGTGTGCAAAGAGGATTAAAAGATTCCAGCCTCACCGCAAAGCATTCTTGTGGGAACTAGTCCAGTCCCAGGAGACCAGCTCCTTTCCCAGGAGACACGTTACCATGTCTTGAGGACAAGCCATCGTCTACTGTATTACTCTCTACAGCCATTAGTCCCTCCCTACCCTTACACTTTCCACCGCTTCGTCATCCCACTGGGGCCCTGCTTCTCCCAGAAGAACCTTTGGGGAAAAGATGAAACCCAAACCATGCAAATATCTACCTTGTTATCATTTTACTCCTTCTATAATTACTGTTCTCACTTTGCTCTTAGACTAGAGTTAGGAAATAAATTAGTTAGTATAACTATTTCAGAGTTAGGATCAAAATGACCCTGAAAAATATATTAATGGGAAACTTTCACTTGTAAATTTAGGTTGGCACATGAATAAAGGATATGAAACTGGTCAATAGGACTATTTTGTAAAAAGTTAAAAGATAAATCAAGAATATTTTAAATTGACTTCCTGAATTCAACATCATGTTTTCATTAGAAATAAATTTTGTTTATAGCATGCCTTGAGCCCTGGAGATAGCAGTATTTTCTAATTATCTACACATGCTATAGTGGACCCAAGTGCCATCTGCTACTCTAAGCTGTGGTTCCTGTACCCCACACAAATTTTGACTCAGTATGTTATGAAGCCTGTGAGCTGACATTTGTAATACTGTACTTGGTGAGTTCTGGGGCCACATACTGGACGACACTACCTAATATAGACTTCATTGACATGAATTATGAGTCTGACATTGTTATTTAAGTATTGTCAATAGTACCAAAAATTTAAATCTAATTCCATTTTACAATCGTATTCAGTATTAGTCTCTTAACTTCACTCTATGCTTTCTCTGTCTAGTAACAAGCCATTGATGGTTATTCACCACCTGGAAGACTGTCAATACTGTCAAGGTAATTTCAGCTACTGGGATCTTACTGTATATCCAACATAAGGTAAACTTGTGAGAATTGTTCAGAAGGCACACAGGCAAATCCCATTTTAAAAATACAATTCCCAGAGTACCACCATTCTACCAAGATGCTTAAAGACCAAGTGAGAGCCACCTAGGGGTGCCCTCTGGTAACTGCAGCAGAAGGACTGTGAGTCAGAAGTAACAATGATTGTTCATATCTGCTGAATGTGAAACTATGATATGCTCTTTGGAATGTGATACCCACTTCTTCAAAGAATCAAAGTGATTAGGAAAACGTGCTGACAGAAATTGTTCTAACCAATGGGTTACTGAGCAGTGTAAATTATAAAGCTAGTGTCTTCATTAATGTGATTGTCCCCTGACATCTCCGTGGACATACTCTAGCTCATTGCTTCCCAATGAGGGACTAAATGGTAAGAGGACAAGAAACCATTTACACCTGTTGATGTAACTAACCGTCTTATTAAATAAGAAACACAGAAACAATGTAAAAGAGAAAGCCGAGAGGTCAGAGCTCAGAGCTAAAATCTCACCCTTCCGCCTGCGGTGTCCCAGCTTCCCGAAAGAGACCTATTTCCTGTCTGTTCGTCTATTTATAGTATTTTGTTCTGCCTTCTCATTGGTTGTAAACCCAAACACGTGACTGCCTCATCACTGTCTGAATGTACAGCCCCCTAGGTCTTAAAGGTATATGTCTCCAATGCTGGCTGTATCCCTGAACACACAGAGATCTATGGGATTAAAGGCGTGTGCCACCACCGCCACACTCTTGCTATGGCTCTAATAGCTCTGACCCCCGGACAACTTTATTTATTAACATACAATCAAAATCACATTTCAGTACAATTAGATTACTACCACATACACCCCTGTCATTGATGTAAATGATAGAAAAACATACTAGCTTTTATATCGCATTGACAATGTCTTGACCCTTTAAGCTAACTGGCATTTTGTCTCCCTCACAGCACTAAAAAAGGAATTTGCCAAAAATGAAGAAATACAAGAAATGGCCCAGAATGGCTTTGTCATGCTGAACCTCATGGTACATGAACTCAACAGTGTTTTCTTAATGTCATAAAATTTCATGGAAAGTTTAACTTTTTTTTTTTTTCAAAAACATGCAGGGTCAACTATTAGTTACTACAGAATTTTAAAAGGCCCTAATATACAATTTCCTGAAAATTTAGCTTCCATTAGAATGCTACACAGTCCAATATTGTTAATTGATTTCATCTTCTGTTAGCATGAGACCACGGATAAGAACTTGTCGCCGGATGGGCAGTATGTGCCGAGGATCATGTTTGTGGGTATGTGTACCATCTGTCAGATGTGCAAACTGGCAGGATCTCAGCATCCTCGCTTCCATTTGACTTGCTCTGAGGTTCTAAGTTAAGCAGTGTTCTTTTTAACACAATCAATAACATTGTGTTCTTGTTAAATCTACAGCCAAAATTCACTATATTACTGACAGATTTTAACATTTAAAAGCAATTTATGCTATTAAATCAATTTACCAATGCATTTTCATTACATTACAATACCCCAAAATAGATTAAAAGAGAGCCATGGCTCAGTGATGAAGCCTAACCTTGCTTATAAATTTGCCTGCCCTTGTTTTAGAGTAGGGAGAATGAACAACTTGAAGAATATGTGGTAATGTTTGAGTGACTTTGTTTCTGTTGTCTTTAACAGACCCTTCTTTGACTGTCAGGGCTGATATAACTGGAAGATACTCTAACAGACTGTACACATATGAACCCCAGGACTTACCCTTGTGTGAGTATTCATGAGTTCCACCGGGCAGTGGTGACAGCTGATCCTGTACACCAAAGGGTCAACAGTGGCTTTTATCAATGCTCTCCCCAATTCCGATCTCTGGTGCTGGGCATGGGGTTTAAAGTACAGATTCCCAGCTCACACACACACACACACACACAAAACAGAACTTCCCAGAGGACTCAGAATCTCTTTTTTAGCAGGGTGGCCTACATCTTCCTCTGATCACTGAATTGTGAGATCTTAGCACACATTGAAATGACACAAACATTAACAGAGTTAACTATCTCCTGGTGTCAAAGACCCCATGTGCTTTTCTCAGATGACAATAATGACAATTTTGCCTGACTCTAATGTCTATAAATAATGAGGTACAAATTTACTTAGGACTTTAACCATTTTTAATAACAGTCAATATCAGCCATATTTAAGAAGAAGCTATTAGTCTCAGGTCCAGCAATACTGGATAAATTCAATAGCTAACTAAAAAGAAGTCTCTCTTAAAGTTCACTAAATAAAACTGTTTATTGTTAATGAATCTGATGAGCTACCTCTAATTAGTGTAATTCCTGAATTTACAAATATTCCTTTAGCTTATAATATAGTATGCTAATGAGCCAACTAATATAAAAATTAAACAATCCAATTTTATATATTACCATTTATAAATTATCATTTATATATACTATTTATATATTACTACTACTTTCATTTACTAAGAACAAGCATGTGTCTCCTCCTGTTTCAGTGGTGGACAACATGAAGAAGGCACTAAGGCTTATCCAGTCAGAGTTGTAAGGAAGGATGGGAAGACGATTCAACTCTAAGAACTCAAACGTGTGACAAAAAGCTCTGGCTCACTAGCAAACACCAAATGTCCAAGCACATGGATTTTGTAACATTACTATTCAGATTTGTGATATGTCTGTGATAGTTTATGAAGGTAAAATTATATTTTAATAAATGCTAACATGCGCTATGATGCTGTGGCTTGATGTTTACTTATATCACTAGAAAAGACAGTTTGCCATGAGCTCAGAGCTGCTGTACTTTGCATATGAAATATCCTCACTGCCTCGAGTTTTGCAGGCTTGGTTCTTCAATAATAAAGAAGTTCTGGAAACTGTGGAAGGTGGGATCCAGCTGGGGGTTATAGATCATGATGGTAGCTCATTGAGGGTTTCTTGTTCCTGACACCTTCTTATCTTGCTCTCTACTTCTAAAGAATTTCTCCAAATAATTATCAGGGAAGGATGATATGCCCTCCTGAAATTATCAGGTGACCAATTTCTAATCCAGTTCTTTGCAGAAGATGCCATAAGGTCAATAAAATGTTGTGTGTTCTTTTAAATAATAAGAAAATTTCTGCCAAAGGAGCATTGTGGTCATGAAGGAACAATTATCAGGAGGCAGGATAGTTAGCATTCCTAACCCACAGACACTGGATACATTTTAGAGGTGTCTTGAGAAAAAAAATAGTGTACATGAGCTAGATACACACTAGAAGCCATGATATCCACATCAAGGACAAGTATGATTTAAAGAACAAAACAAACAAAAATTTCCCTGTGGTAGTTTGAATTATAATTGGCCCCTATAATCTCATAGAGGGAGTGGCACTATTAGGCAGTGTGGCTTTGTTAGAGTGGGGTGGCCTTGTGGGAGGAAGTATGTCACTGTGGCTTTGAGGTTTCCTATGCTCAGGATACTGCCCAGGGTCTCAGTCAACTTCTTGTTGCCTGCAAGATGTAGGACTCTCAGCTACTTCTCTAGCACCATGTCTGCTTGCACGTCACTATACTCTCTGTCATGATGATAGTGGACTGAACCTCTGAAATTGTAAGCCAGCCACCCCAATTAAGTGTTCTCTTTATAAGAGTTGCCGTGGTCATGGTGTCTCTTCACAGCAATAGAAACCCTAACTAAGATACTCCCTAAAACATTATGTGACAAAGAACCTCCAAAGATGTCATTGAGTTCCTTTTCTGTTGGCCATCTATTACTAGGAAGTGGGCCTACCTTTAAAAGTGGTTCGCTTTCCCAGTAAAATTCCCTTGGAGAAACCTAAATTTTCATTTACAAGTATTTACCAATGGGAGCTAGCTTGTGGGTCAGGGATGAGGGTGTTTTTCCACTTCTTCTCTCAGCTCTAGGATCCCATTTGGTCCTGTGAGGGCCCAGTGCATGCTGCTTCAGCGTCTGAGTTCATCTGTGCACCAGCCCTGAGTCTAGAAAGCCTTGATTCTATGGTGTCCTCCATTTCTCTGGCTCTTACATCTTTCTGTTTCCTCTTCTGCAGAGTTCTCTGAGCCACAAGGAGAGGGATTTTGTAGATGAACAGTCTTATTAAATAAGAAACACAGAGCCAAATGCAGAGTTAAAAGCACAAGAGGTCAGAGCAATAGCTGAGAGCTGAGACTTAAAACTGCCTTTCTTACCCTTCGCTGCTGCTGTCGTCCTTCTCCTCAGCAAGAGACCTACTTCCTGTGTGTCTGTCTTTTTACTGACTTTCTGTTCTGCCTTCTCATTGGTTGTAAACCCAACCACATGACCTCCTCTTCACTGCCTGTCTATACAGACCTCCAGGTCTCTATGGTTGGTATTGAGAGAAAAGGCATGTGTCTCCATGCTGGCTGTATCCTTGAACACACAGAGATCTGCCAGTCATGTGATCTGGATTAAAGGTGTGAGCCACCACCACCCAGCTTCTGCTATGGCTTGCTATTGGCTCTAACCCCCAGGCAACTTTATTTATTAACATACAAATAAAATCACATTCCAGTACAATGAAAATATCACCATAGGATTTGATAGAGATATCCCTTTGGGAGACGAGTGTTCCAGGGTCTCTCACTTTCTACATAATGTCTGGCTATGGATTTCTGTATTTGGTCTCACCTGCTGCAATAGGAGACTTCTCAGATGATGACTTAGCAAAGCACTGATCTATGAGAATGTAACATGGAGTCGTTTTGTCAGGGACAAGGACAGAATCTCTAGTTAGTGGAAAAATACAGACCCCCCAATAAGACAGGGAACTAGATCAGCTTACAGTCAAGTTGCCTAGCAACAGGACATTGAGTCAGAGCCCTTGACCCTCTCACCCTGTAAACATCCTATACAAACATCCTGTTAGTTTGCTCCACCTTATGCAGCTTCTTGCTCCCCTCACCCTGCAGAAACTATATAAACCTTTCTGGAAGAGAAATAAAGTTGCACCTTGATCAGAATCTAGACTTGGTGTCTTTTCCTTTGTATCTCCTGTCCCTACATTCCCTCCTTAGGGTGGTCGAGAACCCATTGTAGCCCTGCCGGCGGGGCAGTTTTATTGCTGTGTTCCTTTAGCAGAACAGGAGTATTTGGTTTTCTCATAGGTACCTGGCCTATCTAATCTCAGGTTCTTGACTACCAAAGCAGCTCTGATTATGGGTTCCCTCTCATGGAGTGTGTCTTAACTCAAATCAGATATTGGTTGGCTACTCCCATAAGCTTTGTGACACTATTGTACAAGTGTAATTTTCAGGCAGAACACTATTGTAGATAAATGTGTTGTAGCTGGGTTGGTGTTTACCTTTCTCCTTTGGTAGCATGCAGAGTGCCTTCCAATACCATGAATACTAGTCCATGGGGGTAAAGGCTCAATGTAGGCACCAGCTCGACTTCTCCATGTTCAATGAATTGTGTACATGTTGTCTTCAGCAACGGGGCCTTACCATCATTTTCTGAAGAGCCACTGATAGCCTTAGCAATAGCCTGTGTTGTTTGGGGGTTCCTATGGGGGTTCCTATGGTACCCTCTTGGCCAAGAACTCAATCAGATGTAACTGGTACTGGAAGCTTTGTTTGGTCCACTTAGGGCTCTAACTCCCCCTGTTATTTGCCAATTTCATTTAGATCATATATATATATATATATATATATATATATATATATATATATATATATATATATCAGTGCTGGGGGGAGACATGTAGATCTCTGGGGCTCACTGCTCAGTCAGTCTACCTCCAGCTAAGCAAGCTCCTGCCCCAGGCCAATGAGAGACTCAAAAGCAGACAAACAAAAATGAGCATTCTCATGCACAAGAGTACACACAGAAAGACCATATTTTTAAAATATTTACTTTCCTTATTATCAAACATCTATTTTCTACTTTGTGCCAGATATGGCATTTGCTACTGTGTATGCAAAGACGGACTGGGAAAATTACAGCATCTCCCTCCTCTGTGGATTTCGGTCTGGCTGTAAGATGTGCACACCATCACCAAAAGGAAACAATCCCTTTCTGCAGTCTGTGGATTTTGGTCTGGCTGTAAGATGTGCACACCATCACCAATAGGATACAATCCCTTTCTGCAGTCTGTGGATTTCTGTCTGGCTGTAAGATGTGCACACCATCACCTATGGAAACAATCCCTTACTGCAGTGTCATGGATGATGTGGGACCAGTACGGGGAGCACAGCTTTCTCACCGAGCTGTCAAGTTCACACAAGCTTCAGTGCCTGTGAATCTGGAGTGGAATGAGAACATATTCCATCTCTCTCAACTTGATAAAACAGAAAGTACACTGGAGAGCTAAAGATTTATTGACTTAACCCAGAAACACAAAAGTATACACAGATTTGTTTTGTTTTCGTGTTTTAGGATTTTATAATTAACAATGTGCCAGGCTACAGGAGAACTTACCCTTCCAGCACAGTATACACACATACATTAAGATTGCTAAGGACTTCACAGTGATAGCTCTTAAAACATAATTATATACAATTATATACAATTATATACATATTCAGGACCAGTCTTACTGAGTAAAGGAAAATGAGAATTTTCTTTTCTGCTTTTTAAATGTGTTTCTTGCCCATGTGTTCTTCATTAAGTAGAAATCCCTGGGAACAGTAAATCTTTCCCTGAGACTCACTGACTCTCTTACACATTTACACAGATACGTAACGTCACAGAATCATTTGGGTGTTGGGAGGGGACAGGGTTGTGGAGCCCATGTGAAGCCAGAGGCCACAAACACTCGACTCACCTGCTCTTTGCCCAGGTTTGGTTTAGGACTACTGCACATACCTTGTCTGGAACAGATCTACTGGAATGCAACTGGACTACACTGAATACTGGTTACTGCCACCTGCAGGAATACACTGCAGTGATTTTCCAGGGGAATCCGCCATCACCCGAGCTATGCTCATTTCTGCTGTGATGAAACACCTCAACAAAAAACAGCTTAAATAGAAATGATTTGTTTCAGCTCACAGTTACAGCTTACAGTCCATATTACAGCAAAGTCAAAAATTGCAGAAACTTGCAGCAACTGGGCATATCACATCCACAGTCAAGAGCAGAGATAAATAAATGCATGCATACTAATCCTCAGATTTCTTCTCCTACTCTCACACAGACCATGACCCAAACCCAGGGGATGGTGCTGCCTACAGAAGGCTTGGTCTTCCTACCTCAATTAAGGCAATCAAGATGATCTCCCATAGACATGCCTATAGGCAAATGGGAACTAGACAATTCTTTATTGATAGTCTCTTCCTAAGAAATACTAGGCTGTGGATAACTAAAACTAGCCATCACATACAGGTTGAATTATACCACTTAAAATCTTTGCATGTTTAAGTCCCTGTTCCTAGTACCTCAAATATCATCTTACTTCACCAACAGAGTACAAGAGATGGAAGAGAGAATCTCAGGCATTGAAGACATGATATAAGAAATGGAAACATCGCCGGGTGGTGGTGGCGCACGCCTTTAATCCCAGCACTCGGGAGGCAGAGGCAGGCGGATCTCTGTGAGTTCGAGGCCAGCCTGGGCTACCAAGTGAGATCCAGGAA